ACTGACAGGTGAGATGACTAACACAGATTATCTGGTTATCATGGCACCTGTCAGTGGGTGGGATATATTAGGCAGCAAGTGAACATTTTATCCTCAAGTTGACATGTTAGACAACTGGGTCAGAGCATCTCATAAACTGCAGCTTGCAGCTTGTGGCGTGTTCCCAGTCTGCAGTGGTCAGTACCTATCAAAAATGGTCCAAGGAAGGAAAAGTGGTGAACTGGACATAGGGTCATGGGGGGCCAAGACTCATTGATGTACATGGGAAGTGAAGGCTGGCCCCATGTGGTCTGGTCCAACAGACGAGCTACTGTAGCTCAAACTGCTGAAAAACGTAATGCTGGTTCTGATAGAAAGGTGTCAGAACATACAGTGCATCGCAGTTTGTTGCGTATTGGGCAACCAGAGTGACCAGGTGGTCATAATGCTATGGCTGATTGATGTACTGTGCTGTGTATTTGTCACTCAATGCACACATTATTATACATTACATGGAAATTGTTGTACTGCAGTATCTTTTTATTACAGTTTGTTCATAATAACAAATGCTTTACTGAAAACCACAACAATTCACCCCATCTTGTTTTTCTTGTATTGCCTGAGATGAGCTTTTAAATCCAGTCTGATCTTGTTTCAGAAAAACAGAAAATATTCAGCCCAACACCGCAGCTGCGTCAGTCCTCCATTATCACACTGCTTACACTGCTTACGTTAAACCACAGTACTGCTATGCACTCAGATGGCCTTTGGCAGGGCTCACAGCCCGATACACAATCAATGTATTTATGCACACACACGAGTTGGAAGCAAATAGACGTAAAGCATAAGACGCGCTTGTGTGTAGACAGCTGTATTGATTAAAACTGAAGCATATCTGTACTGTCAGATGCATGAGAGATGCACGACTGGAAACCCAGCTAACATGACTGGTGTAAGACAACTTACATCTGAAATGAAAACGAAACAGACTGAAATAAAGTTACTCAAGTTGGCACTCAGCACAAACTGCAGCTGGCCAGCTCCCTTCTGGTGTGGTGAATGGGAATAAAAAATACTTAGGACAGAATACTAAAGGTGTGATCACTTAGTCAACACTGTCAAAGCATGTCCTTGGTTCTTATAATGCAAGAGCATGAAGCAGACTGTAAATACTTCTTGAGCAGCATTTTGTGTTCTTCTTGAAAAGTTTATGTCCACAAATATTTCCTCAGATATCACTATTGACAGTGTGAGACAGCAGAAATACATATTTGGGAGCTCAAAGCCAATCCATGTCCTGGAAGAGGTTCCGGCCCATTTCAATGTAGGCCTCCTTCTCCTGTGCAGACATCTGTTCCACTAGCTCTGGCCTCTGGCTGACCTCTCGGTAAGAGCGCGGCCGGCCTCCCACCATCACCATCGGCTCATCCCCCACCTCCTCGAAATCGTCATCGTCATCTTCCTCCTCCTCCGCCCGATGCTGCGCAGCTGCGGCGGGGGGAGGATTTGAGGGGGAGTCGTCGTCTGATTCGCTGGTGTCGCTGTCTGAGTCGCTGGCATTAGCTGTGGTGGACGTGAGTCCCTTGGTAGCGGTGCTCACTCCGCCTGCACCTCCACCTGCTGCTGCCGCGCCCCTCTTCTCGTGAATGAGCAGGGCGCGCATCACTTCCTCATTTTCATCTGACTGACCGATTCCAAGACCGGCCGCTCCATCCTGGGCTCCGGGGACAACGTCTCCAGCTGTGGAAACAAAACAATGATGCTTCTAACTTCTTCTGGAACTTAAATTTAGGCTGCTTTAGAAATGTTTTAACCCTTTTACTGTGCCTCGATCAGCACGTCAAGATCTAAGGGGTGCGTCTAGGCTCCAGTCTCACAGTCTCATCAAACATTACTTATTGCGCGTCAGTGTCTTCACAGAAACTTTATTTAAACCACGCCACCATCGGATGTCATGTCTGTTTACAGGCTCCAAAGGCCAACAAGATCATTCCAGACAGACGCACACAGACACACCTCAGAGACAGGACGTTTGGAAGGCATAATTCATGCAATTTCCACAGGAATGGATTTTATTAATGAGCAATCCTTGCTCAGTCATGCACTAATCAAGCCTCTGATTATTTCAATTAAGCAATTATGGTTCAATGGGAGTCTGGCCAGGCCTGATTTGCTGCATGCCCTTGGGTGGAGCAACAATGTCAGAATAAGACAGCTTGGTGAAGGACCACTCTGACAGAGGGAGATAACCTGGGTTGACCTGTAATATCCTGCCTTGACTGTAAAGAAATAGACTATTAAAAAAAAAAAAACAGAGCATTCAGCAAGCCTTACCATGGAGAGGCATTTATGATTAATGTCAGTGAAATCAGAATTTGTGAGTGGGCAGGAATTTAATAGCGAATTTAACGTCTTCTGACTCATGGAGTGGGAGATCTTGTGATTGTGGCGGAGAATGGACAAACAACTGCACCAATGTGGCATTAGCTTGGGTTCAGCATTAATAGAGGAAATGAATAACGAAAAGTTATTTAACGAATAATGGCGAGAAACCCACACATATTGAGTCTAAATGAATTCTGGAAGTTGATCGTCTTACAAGAAAACATCACTTACGGTTCTTGAGGATGTCAGGCTCGCTGTAAGCACCCTGCACGGTACTCTGGGTCAACCAGACGGGCCTCTCCTTAGGTGCCTTGCCCTCACTGGCTTGCTTCTGCTGTTCTTCCTGCTCCTCCATGCTGATAACCACATTCTGGGTGTACATATCAGCGTAGGATGCGCCTTTGTTAGACCAGGCCTCGCGGTGTTGGCCACCCGCAGCATTTGCGGCTGCTGCAGCACGTTCACGGCTGGAGGAAAGATTCAGTAAATATCCTTTAAATAATGATCTTGACAGTTGAATTAATAGGTGTAAACATGAAAAACTGAGTGTAATGTGTAATGCTAATGCTATAATGCTGCTAGCTAAGGCTAGCCACAGCTAGCTTACAAGTTAGCTTTCACTTGATTTAGTCCTCTTTGAAAGCAGGAATGCAGTAACTAGACAGCCAAAGAGCAGATACTGTGTTTTTGGTCTGTTTTCATGGAAATTACACATTTCTATGGCATAATATTTTTATATAGTAAAACAGATTAGATACAGGTTACAACTGTTACTGCATTTTGCTTTCGTAGGGCAGTGATGTCATGCTGACTCAGGGAAATAAGCGGTTTATTTCGGTGTGGTCGGTCAGAAACTGACCTCTGTTTGAGGGCGGGAATTTCAGCAGGCTCCGGCTCCAGCAGGTCATGGGACAAGTTGACATCTTCAGTCTCACGTAGCAGCGCGTAGATGGGTTCGATCTGCTCGTTGAAGCGTGCAACCAGTGTCCTGGCATCGGGACAGACAGACTCGTCCTCCTCTACCTCCGTCTGGCAGAAGGTGCAGCGAAATGTACCTGTGGGTTAAGAAGGAAAAAGTAAAAGTAAGAAGGGATGTTCAGGTAACCCACTTGGCCAAAGCAGACACTGTGCACCTACATTCTTGGGACAGTGTCTTTTTGTTAGGTATGGCCACTATACTGGGATTTTGGAGTTCTATGTTGGCAATTGTGAAGTTTCCGTTTCCAGCTGAAGGGTGAGTGGCAGTGCTATGATGTGCAGCATATGGTTACAGTCTGCTGTCTCTAGCTAGCAAGACTCCCTAAAAGTAGCCTCCAGATGAATGACCTTGCAGTTATTCCTGGAGTCTCAGACAACAAACAATGACACACATTAAACAGAACAGGCTTGAAAATGCATCTCAGTTGAATTTTGAGAAACTGTATTTTCTTGCTGCCGTAATATTTTGTTTTTTAAGCCAAATTGTTCTTGCTCCATTTATTACATTGTGTTTCCTTTCAGTAAATAAAACTGAATGGGTGTTAAGTTAACCTTATTAAGTAAGGAGAAATATAGACCCTAGGGCTAGACCATGGATCTTGTGTGCTCTACACACACAGTTCCTACCAATGAGAGAGAAGGGCATGTTCGGCCATCTGCCTCTCTGGCTGTTTTCAGTTTCAATAATGGGCACTGTTCCACTATTACACAGACCCCATGTCTGCGTTGTGACTATATGTGTCTGTGTGTGTAGGGGTATGTGTATGTGTATGTCTGAGAGAGAGAGAGAGAGAGAAAAGGAATTAGTGTGAGGGTGGGGAAAGAATATACAACTTGCTCTATAACTCTTTTTAGGTTATAACTTTCCAGGACCTTTCAAGGACATTTTCCAGGAGTTTTGCTAGATAGAGCTAATAGAGGAGAGCACTTGCTCACAACTGGTCGTATGATTTATTGGTAGGCCTAACATTGACACATTTAATCCAAGTTTTATTCCTACTTGTTTTATGATGCAAGGTTCATGATGTGTGTTTCAGTGTCACTACAGGTAGGCGGTTAGTGTTTATGACATATTTTTTCCACTGTGGTCTCTATAGCAAACTGACTATAATTTTCCTCTATCTGTAACAATAAGTTGGCCACAGCCCATAACTAAACAGATAAAATCAAGTAGAATCTATTTGATTTTACAGAAAATCTATCTTTTCACCTTTCAGCTTATTAAAAGCAGTAGAAGAAAGTGAAAGTTTCTGTTGCATGTATAATTAACACCGATGTGCATGTTTATCAACAGATGTAAATTTGATCTAGGCTGTATGCATGTAGATAAGACCGTCTACAGCATTTCCACTGGCTTTTTAAAATAAAAAGATAACTGCAAGTCAGTTTTTGCTCCACTTTTGGTAAACCCACTTTGAAGTGTCATACCGTGCCGTCCTATTAACAGTCAAGTTTAAAAACAGAAAAATGCACCTCGGTTTACATAAGTGATCTGAGTTTAAGGATCAAATACACTTAAATTGTCCAAGTAATGAGACAAGACAAACTTTTCCCAACGGTGGTCTTTACCACAAACTAAAGTTGGGTTCCACCTTAAATATTCTGAAGTCTGAAACAAACCTTAAAGAGAGCACCAACTGATGTCAGACGAAATGGTAAAAAAGTTTTATGCACAGCCAAAGGCTGCGTTGGACCTACATGTCAGGTGGAATGAGTGAAAAAAATAAAATGCTAATAAAGGGGAGGGCACATTCACAAAGCAAAGTGTGAAAATTCAGAGCTGGAGGGTTTCCGGCTCTCCTTGGGGGTCAGAATGAGCTAGATGCCCAGTAATGTCATTTCTCATCTCTATGAGGTCAAACTGAGTGTTGCTGGCCCTGAAGAAGTACCCAGTCCATTAGACTACCACTATGTGAGCTGCAGGTATTCGTTTTGTCAGCCCTTTGTCAGGGTGCAGGGTTACTGCCTCCACAGCTAGATTTGATACCAGTTGAGATATGTTGAAACAAGAGACAAGAGCAAAGGAATTGGCAGGATGATTGTACATGTGTCACCAGGATGATGCTGCTGGCTACATCCTTTTTCCAGAATGTAATTTACACTGGCCATCCAACGTTTTTATCCAATGTGGAGGTATTGTTTCTTTATTTTCTTTCCTCAAATTAGTTTTATGTGGCATGTTTTTTTTCTAAAATAACTAATAAAATTGTGTAAGAATATAGGAAGCCTATTCTATCACTTTATATAAAGTATTTGTAAGCAATGTGCAGCCTTCCTCCACAACTTAAAACTGGTCTCCTCAGGAAAATGTGAATTTTTTGTTGTTTTAAACAGCTAGATTCGTGTGAAGTAACTTTGTCACTTTTATATTTGATTAGGTTCATCTGTAAAGTAAAACAAATCATTACATTGATAAAAAAAAGAAACAAGGCTTAAGCACATTGGTTGTAGTACATTACATTATTACAGAAGAATCCTTTCTGTGCATTACATAATGTTTAGAATATAATGTGTCTCTGCAGCTAAAACAGTATTTTATTCAGTTGATGTTCTGAGCTGAAGTTTGAAGTTTAGGAAAAAGTAATTTCATAAGATTTGAACTGTATCACATTTATTTCTGCTTCTGCAGTAACTGCAGCTCCAGCTCAGCCTCCCGGCAAATGAGGAAGAAAAAAAAATGGCCTGAAAAATATGCAGTGGGCCCAAATGTGAAAACACAACACATGCATAAATTTAAAAAAATCCAATCCAATGAAATAATTCAATACAGCATTCATATTTCATCCAATAAAACTATTTACAATAATTATTTTCCCAATGAAAACAGAGATTTAAATTTCAGTAGTATCTTAACACCCCTTGAAAATCTTGTCTTTGCTGACCTCCAGTGGTTTTGCTGCTGTTAAGTACAGCCAATGATGTCACTGTTGGGTTTAACCACATCTATCAGTGATTCTGGGTGTGATCAGACATAAAACAGGCTTGAAACTCGCAGTCAGAGAAGGCAACAGAGCACTGCTTTTGCAGCCTGGTGTTAAATTACTCTTGAATCACCTGGGAATTTGGTATAATGAGGAAATGTGTTATTTGAATTAAGAGCAAACTGGGTTCTTGTAAATTGGTTTTGTTTGGAGGATAACAACCTCTACACATTTTGCTAAATGATTTTAGTACTGGGAATGACTTTTTAATTTGTCTATCTAGCTGCTAAAGTTATGAATGATTAAACAGAAGCCTTGCTGCTGAGTCCTACTCAATTGAGTAGGAATACGTGACTCAAATGAGCTGGTCATGACTTGTTTATGTCAATCAATGAATGATTTCAAAAGCAAGTGCACCATCTATCTTTTTTTTTTACATTCTGCATATCCTCACCCACACTGTCTAAGATGTTTAAGAGTGGTTGCTTCTGTTTCTCAAATGTCAAGGACATGCATAAACACAAACAGAACATGTTGGATAACTCCTAGTGATAAGGGAGTGATGTGATGCCTATTTAGAAGCAGTGTTTGGGACAGCTGCCAGCCCTTATTGAGGCGAGATGAGAATCAGATATCAAAGTTAAGTTACATCAGGCCTTTTGTTGTGCTAGCAAGTCAGGCCAAACACATATTGCCTGGGTTATATGGAAACACTCGATTGTATCCAAGAAAACAGAAAATCAAAATTATTCATGTATTTGAACTCAATTTTTCTGTTTAATTTGGGTTACACAGCTGCACTAGCAAATATATGGTCTAGATTACTTAACATTTACTAATCAGGTGTTATAGGTAGACTGAATTTAATGTTCTCCTTGTCATTTTTTCTTCTTTTTTTCTTCTTCTTGCTGACCAAACAGAGACAAATAATTTAGACCATAAAAGGTACTTAATTCAGACTTAATGAGACTTCAGATTTACAGACAGTTTTAAGTTTTATTTGGCTGTTTGTGAGAAGCCCAAACCTGCATATGGCTTCATTACAAGCAACACAAAACATATTAGGCCTTGAGCACCTTCTCCTCTGACGGTTTAAGTCACATATCATGTAACTTATCTGTATGTGTTACTGTTTTAATACTTCACAGGTCTTGAGACCAGATTTCAATGCACTTCAAATCATTTGCCACACACAACTGAAGATATATTTTTTTGGTTAATGTTAATGTAATGGTGTTAATGTACCTGTCATAGGGTCAAATAGCTGATTGGCCTCTAGATCGGTGAAGGTGGAGAAGCAGTAGGGGCATCGGAAGGAGGCACGGTTGGTGGAGTCTCTCTCATCTGTCTCGATGCGCCTTCGCATGTGATCCAATTTATACTTGACCACGTTGACCAGAACCCTAAAAAAATATCAGATTCGTAAAACTTTATAGTATGTAAGATATTGACATGAGAGAACGAACTGTTTTAAATATGGATAAGAAACTAAAATATTGGGAAGGATTCTAGTTTACTACAGAAGCCAAGAACTAATTTGAGCTAATAATTTCCTGGCAATGTGATGCAATACTGACAAATTTTATCAGGAGAATATTTATTAAATGAGCTCAAAGATCCCGCAGTGTCCAGACTTTTTTCATGTACCTTTTCCTGGCTGCTGGCTCATTTTGGTCAGTGTTAAAATTCCTCATACATTGTCCGTTATGTTGAACCAAATGTCAAATGTTACTATCTATAATAATATGCCATCTATGCTTGCTGGCATGGCACTCCTGATCTCTGATAAACACAAGTAATAAGTAATAGGAGGAAACAACCTTTTGTTTTCATGAGAATAAAATTATTAACTAATTAATTACAAACATAGCTGTTCTTACCTTCTGTAGTCTACTCTACAAAAAAATCCTAAAGGAAGAGCGTGTGGCACCTATTAACTGTCACTTATATGTAATTTAAAGTTTAGTTTCTCTTGTTTTCGTACTTAGTAAAGTACAGATGAGCACAGATCTTATTCTTTCTAAAAGTGTTAGGGGCATCCTGCCGATATGAGACATCCCCACTGCCAACACCTGGATTCTATCCCTACCCATTAATATGGATAAGTTCTTATGAGTTATTGTGTCTTTTATGAGTGTGCACTGTTAAATGCAAACCAAAAAGAAGATAACCACCTGTAGTTGATGAAGTAATAGTTGTGCCGTGTTGTCTTGCCATCAGGGGCCGTCTCCACTCTCATGCGGCACTTGACAAATTTGTCTGACTTCAGTGTGTTGAGGACTGAGCGCAGCTGTTTACGGTCAAACTTGAGCAACTCCAGCATGTCCTCCTCGCGAACGCACGGGTTGCGGATGAGCACATCCAGGGCCAAGGCGTGTTCCACTCCATAAAAACCCCTCACGACCTGCTTGGCCAGCCGCTTAAGTGCTGCAGGGACCTCGGTCAGTAGCTCTGGTTCTATCATCTTCAGCTGTGGAGGGACATGAGAAGATCTGAGAGAGGCAGAAACTTCAGCTACTTCATTATGCATAAATCAGAAGGTAGGCAACCTTAAAGCTTGGGAGGGAAATAAGGTGACATTTAAAAGGACACTAGATAGATAGATAGATAGATAGACTTTATTGATCCCAAGCTGGGAAATTACAGTGTAGCAGCAGCATTACACACAGTAACAACAGTAACAATACAATAAGTAAGGAGAACAACCTAGACA